CGAAAGTTTAATTTAACCTTCGTTTCAAAATTGATGAAGTGAAGGCACTGGTTTGGAGATTAATAACATGAATTCATAGTTACCTCCCGTGTAGTTTAGTAAAGTAATAAGTATAGATAAAGCAGTGGTTTCCTCTTGTTTGTTTCTTTTTTTGTCACTGTGAGGGTTGAAATGCACAAACTGTCGATGATATATCGTGTTTTTGATTTATAATGTCATGGGTGACAAATTACTCTTTAATTTTGGCGCAACATTTCAGCGCTAATTTATAATTTCACAAGTGAAATTTTCAAATTGCCGTTGAAACGTTTGGCGCGAAATTTCTCGATACAATAAACAAACCAAAAGCGTAATTTGTCACCTATGTTATTAAAATGTAATCAACAGGTATACTCGTAAAATTAAGAAATAATTTCACTTGCGTTTTGTCAAAATTCTAATATGTAATTTTCATCCCCTAACGGTTTGGAAAATTGTAAGAATTTTGACGAGACGGGAGCTAAATTATTCTATTTCCTCAATATTTCTCTCGTCACCATTTGATTACCCATACAAAAATTTACAGTCAGCGCAAGAAATAACACTAACCTTGAAATTTTAAGGTAATTCCCCTGAAATAAAACTGCACGTAGATTTTTGTTCAAACTTTGTCCAATGAATATTCATCATATGAGAACTTAAATTATAAAATAAAAAAGGGGGGTGCCCACGCTCATTAAGGAGCAGTGAGGCATTGAAAATGTCCCAACTTAGCGTTATTTAATGCTTATTACAAGAACGCATTCCAAGCTATTATAAACTCTTTGTGAGTCCAGACTCAAGAAAACACGCCTCAAACTAAAATCAATACTTGTGTCAGACACAAATAAACTTTTTAAGTTTGATTTTGACAGACGGCTGAATCTTTGTTAAAATATTGGAACCAAATTGCTTGCCACAGCTATCAAACTGGAAAACAGAAAAGACTACATTGCAGCTGCTATTTTTCTTATTTATTCAATTTTCAAACATAGAAATCGGATCAGTCTTTTCTCACGCAAAGCTAATGATTAGTTGATAAAAATGACTGGAAAAAAATTTGGGGTGCCCGAGCTCGTTAGTGAGCTATAGCCATTTTTTAACTGACAGAACTCAATATCAAGGCAAATCCACCATGTTTTCAATGTGCGCGCGTATGAACGCGCGCCAATGACGCCATAAATTATGCACAGTGAGGACGCGCAATGCAATACTGGGGAATGACCTTAAGAGCAATTCTCCAGGAAAGTGAGGCAAAGTTGGAAATG